CCCTTGCATGTGTTTTGGAAGTGCCCATTTTGTCCTCATTTAATTAGCTCAGCTATTCATTTCAAGAAATAAACAAATGCTACAAACAGGAAGTTGCAAAGACAGTGGCCTGGGGCTGAATCCGACAGCAACATTGTTAGTTTTGCATGTGCGGTGTTAAAAATAAACAACTTGCAGGAAAATCCAGATTTCTGACTTCTTTTGGAAGAACATTGACATGGTAAATCTGGTCCTGGTTCTGCCAGGCCACATGTGTCTGAGGTCAGTGGTGGTGGTCAGGCAAGCCAGGCCCTTGGAGGCAGCCTGGGCCACAAGCCCTGTTTGCCGTTGCCCACCGCCCTTCCCTGACCTTCCTGCCTGGTCCCTGTCAGCAGCTGTCTCTGCAATGTTTATGTAACTTTGTTGATCAAAAAGAAACGCTCTGTAACCAATAACTCAATAAAACTCAAAGAAAGAAATTAAAAGGTACGATGGGGTTCCAGGAAAATGAAACCACCAGCCTGGAGCAAGACCCAAGTGAGCCACAGCACACCTGCCCCCGTCGTGGGAATCAGAAGGCAGCGCCCTCTGCTGGAAAGTGCGCTCTGGTCTCCAGGGTCTGCCGGGCAGCACTGCTCCTACCTGGCAAGCATCCCCACATGCCAGCTGCCTGCTGGTCCCAGCAAAGCCACCCAGCGGGGGTTCAGAGGGCCTGCTGAAGCCCCAGGCTACTTCTAAAGCTGAACCAAAATACTGCCCATCACTTATGGCTCACACATGAGATTGTGTGTTTCCATCTTTGTGGATTATCAAAGTTACTCAAGTCCGCCACCCAGAGCCAGGGGCTTTCCTGCTCTCGGCCACAGAGCTGCTGCAAGGGGGCAGGGAGAGTGACCCCAGGGGAGCTAAGAGCTCACTGCAGCACCCTGGGACCTCTGCAGGGGCACGCTCAGGCCGCACCATAGGGGCAACTCTACGGGGCACGCACACGGAGCATCCTGAGGGAGGTGAGGGGCTCTGTCCTGCGCTGGCCGGCCCTTCCTCAGAGCTGCTCTAGAGCCACCTCCCTCCAGCCTCCTCCACCGCGGCTCCTGCCCCTCCCTCCAGGCTCCAGAGCTACCCCAGCAAACCTCTCTCACAGGCTGAGCTTCACCCGGGCACCTGCTCCCCACACAACCCAACTGAGTGGTCTTCCCTTCACAATCTGATTTCTGACTCCTCTGGCAAAAATCACCACTACCAGACCAGACTCAAAGTACACCCACTGCAAACTTCTCTGCAAGAACAGCGTCTGTGCACCTCCCTAGGAAGAAGGACGGACACTCTTTTCACTCGGCGACTCCAGTCACACCAGGACAGCAGCTAGAATCAGAAATCAGTCCTTGGGAAGCCCGCCCTGAGCATCAGCTCCTGGCCCAGCACCATGGGGCAGGCCTGTCGACCCCACCACGCTGCACACCGAGACAGGAGGCCTCGCATTCAGGACAACCTGGCAACTTCGCAAGACCCTGTCTCAAAATTCAAAAGGCTGGGGTGAAGCGCAGTGGTGTGAACTTGCCCAGCAAGGGTGGGGCCCGGGGTTCAGTCCCCAGCCACCCCCCCTGCCAAAAAAGTCACCAGCAGCTCTTCAGCCCCTGCGTTCCGCGTTCAGCCTGCCCCGAGTTGTGCACACCGACGGGCTGCCCCCCGCCCCCCGCCCCCCATCCAGCATCACACTCAGCACATGGCCGTTCTCTTGTTTTGGATGGAATTTCTGAGCCGCTGTCTGGCAAGCACAGCCTCCTACAAGTGAAAAATCTTAAGACCAATATAGGTATCGAGCCAATCACTTAGTTCCTTGGTTTAGAAAAGTGGGTTTTCATATATTGAGTTTTCGGAGCATCATGGGAGGTGGGTAGAAAAACAACCTCTGAAGTCCAGATCCATCAGACTGAGCAACGCTGCCCAGGCCTCCCCACCTCAGTCTCCTCATCAGGACCCGGGGCAGCACCACTCTCCTTGTGGGCTTGAGACTCAAAATAACAGGCACGTAAAGCAGCTCGCAGCGGTGCAACCCTGGCGCCCCCCCAGAACAATAAACAGAGCAAGCTATCAAGCAGGGGCAGATTTGATATCAGCAAACACTTACAAAATGTTGCGAGGAAGAGCCCAGAACTGTCCTGCCTGGAGCTGTGGCTGGACGTGGCCGTTTATCATGGGTTTCGCTCCCCACCCACTTTTAAAGCAACAGGGACAGTCTCCATCACTGATGCACGCAGCTGGCACAGGGGCATTGGCTCCAGCTCCTGGCCCCAGGTGACACAAGTTCTCCAGCGGGAGCCTGCCACCGCCTCCCCGTGGCCCTCGAGCTGCCCCTGCTTGCCACTGCACGTGCCCTTTCTGCAGCCCTTCCACACAACACGGGCAGTGTGGCAATGGGGCACAGTGCCCACTGCCCTCTCATCACCATCAACCTGACTCTCTGTCCTCAAAACTGAGCCAGACCCGACCTGTGTCATCAGTGTGAACTCCATACCTTGTTTTGCAAAGATAATCAGAACATGGCAGATTCTTCTAAATCACCAGGGGAGACTGTCTGGAGGTGACCCACGAGAATGGTTACCAAGTGCAGCATTTTGAAATTAGTAGTTCAGAATGATCCTCAACACCATGAAGTGGCTTTAGGAATAACAGACTGTCACGGTCGCTTTGCTTTATGACCTAGAACAGCTCATGTAAACCCCAAACTCTGGTTAACCCAAAGCAAACCCCACAAAATTTCTGAGCAATTGTTTTGTTTCATAAAATTCAGTCCAACCGAACGGGCACGCAGACGATGGGAGGACTAAGTTGTGGGGATCCCGCATCACACAAGTCAGCACAGAGGAAACAGATGTGGCCAGCGCTTGGCTCTTTAAATACCAGCCTGCCCAACTTGTGACAGGAAAATCAAGACAGAGATTCTGACAGGCCAAGGGAGGAAGAGGAGTGTGGGGAGGGGAGGCTGAGCCTTGGCCAGAGGTGGATTTGACGGTGACTAGGGTGGACACGTGGCCCCAAGGGCTGCACCCCTGGGCAGTACAATGGGAGCTGAGCAAGGCCAGGAGCCTAGGAAAGGACCACATGGGACTGAGCCAGTGACTGTCCTTCTCCTCTCTGCTCCAAAAAGCCAGTGACTTTGGCTCTTCTCCAACACCTCGTTTCCCCTGTTTACAAATAGACCTCAATATCTCCTCCACCTCCAATTCCATCAGAGATGAAGTTTGGTGGGTCTGAGGACTGGGAGTCCCCAGGATCTTCAAATTCTGGCTGTGCCCATCTATGACATGATGGTGGGCAAGTAACTGACCCTCTCTTTCTTCAGACCACTGTCTGGCACCCCCCAGTGCCAGCCACAGCACACGTGGAGGGCAGGCACCTGCGTGTCAGCACGTGCGGTGACAGTGCGGGAAGCAGACACGACTGCGACTGAACAGGTCACTTATCAAAAATAAAACTGACATTTCCCACTGGCCGCCCCAGCCCTGGCACATAGACCTGTCAGCACAGGGTACATCCTTGCCAATGGGGGCTTCTGGTAGGGGCCAGTCTGGGGCAAGGCTGCACTGCCAGAGTCCCCACATCATGTCGGCCTTCATCACCTGGCTGTCTTTAACCAGATGTGACACACTTCTCAGGTACGGCCAAGATGGAGACCTCCTGCGGTGGACAGGCTGCAGATGAGCCCAGGTGGCCACACAGTCAGCGGGACAGCCAGCCGCAGGGGGAATCACTCCTTGAAGCCTCTCCCAAGGCCAGAAGAGGCTCTGTTCCCATCATGCCAAGTAGCAGTGTTCAGAAACAATGTAATCAAGGCGCTTCCTGAGAGCAGGGAAAGTGGATACAGGGTGAGGCAGGACTGACTCCTAAACTGGGGTGGGTGGCAATAAGGAAAGCATCAAAGCCGACCTTCAGACCCCACAAGACCCCTCCCAGGCTTGCAAACTGGGGAAACATGGATCAGCAATCCCTAAATGAGCAGCAGTTTAAAAAGGAGACTGCCTTTAGTTTCAACAGCATGGGTCCCATGGCCTTCCCCGCCAGCACCTGGCCAGCCAGAGGGACCCCTGTATCCTGGCTCTCTGGGATGGTTTTCATTTTTAACATGGTGGCCCTTATCCCATTCTGCCTGGGACAGCACTGCACACGGTTCTCTCTCATAGACCTTAATATACCCAGGAAAATAACCCAATTGCTGCATTATTCTCTTAGACAAGACTTTAAATACTGGATTTAATTTTTTTTTTTCAGAGAGGCCCCTGGGTAAAAACAATTTTCTTTATTTCCCAAAATTTTCTCAAAATTCAAAAAAAAAAAAAAAAAAAACACTACATTTTTCCCACTGCAGCCTAGCTGCCAGTAATTCTCCTTTCCTAAGTACCCTGGGTCCACTGCTCCAAGGGCCTTTGGGTGGCCCTGGGATGGAGGTGTTTTCCTCCCAAAAGGCTCTCTGGCTATCGACTGACCCATCACCTGACTGGACCGGTGGAGGCTCACGGCCAGCCTTTGGTCTCCACGCCAAAGTCAAATCGGAACCCTGGGCACGCGTCATCTGCCTGGCGGTCCCACCTGCAGCCCTCCCTCTCGGCCTGAGCCAGCAAAAAGTGAAACTAGCCCACAGCCTGCGGCTGGGCCGGGGCGCCCTGCGGGGTCCCGGATCCCGCGCCCCGAAATCAGGCAGGGGGCGCGCGCGTGGCGTCCCCCTTGGAGCCCCGAGGGTCCCGAGCGCGGTCCCGCGGGAGAGGGGGCCCGCCGGAGCTCGCGTCGCCCCCCTGGCCGGCCGCCGGCCCCTCTCGGGGCGCCCCTTCCCGGGCCGAGGCCCCTGGGCTCGAGGCGGGCGGCCGGGAGGAGGCCGGGCCTCGAGCGGGACAGGCTGCCCGGGAGGCCCGGAGGCCCGGGACCGCGGGGACCCGCCGCCCCGTTCTCTCGGGCCCGCAGCGGCGCAGGCCGGGACGCCCGACCTCGGGCGGCGGGGTCGACCCCGGGCGGGGGCCGCCGCTCACCTGCAGCCGCCGCCTGCTCGTCGCGGTCCGGGTCGCTGGCGGCCGCGCTGGCCGCTGCGTCTCGGCCTGGGCCCGGCCGGCCCTGCGTCGGGCCTCAGCGAGTGCGGCGCCCGCCGCCCCCGGCCCCCATCGCGGCCCCGCCCGCCGCCCGCCGCCCTCCGCCCTCGCC